ACCTTTTTAGGCCCACTTTGTAAAAATTTTGACGCGCGCGTGTTTTTTTGGCGTGTGCTCTCCCTTACACCACCACCAAAAAATGTATTTTTGAATTAAAAACTAAATAAAATCACCTCCCCCCTAAATCCTCCACTTGTTGAACTTTAACTGTAAAATCTTACTGCCCACATTTTGTTCATGAAAATATTAATTTTATATTGGCAAAAAGTGTTCACTGTTCTTATCCCGTTATCCTATTCCCTTTATCAGAATCCATATTTTTTTTACCCCGGATTAAGAAAATCCTGTTTCCGAAAACTTTTATTTAAATCAATCATATAATATTACTGTAAGCCCTAATAACGAATTTGACCGTTTCTAACGTAGGTTTTTTTGGCGAAATTGTCCGCCATAAAAACTTTCAATGCCAACAATTTAAATTCAAAAAATTATTTAATTAAATTGCATGATAATTTCATAAAAATATTGTTCAAAAGGTTAAATATAAATTATAAAAATGTTTCCTTGATACGCGTATCTTAGTAGAGGCATATACAATTGTATCTGTATTCGATAATTACTGCCAAAACCACCTAATTGTTCCGACTTTCGTAACGAAAGTAACGGAATATTTATGCTCGGGGTGGGTTTTTTTTCTTCAGATAAATTTCGAAATTTTAAGTAGCCATTTTTGACGGAATTTTTTTAAAATTTTAAAAATGTATTTTTACCCTGAGCTTAAAATTGAAGCAATTTTTTACGGGTGATCTTTTTTGTAAAATTATGGGGGTTTAAACATTGCCATTTTGGCCTATATGGGACAATTAACTCGCGATATATTTTGGGCTATTAACGCGTAAGCGAGATAAATCTGCCTTAGAAATCGTTCCAAATTGGTTCAAAGAAGCTTATATGCCATAATTGATTTGTTAATAGCAGCAAAATGTGTCACTTTGCACTTAATATGACGTGTGGGGGGATGTTTTTACAACAAAAAAAGCTCAATTTAAAAAAAAAATTAATTAATTTTTTTATCTTTATTTTTTTCATGTTATTACTGCTCTATAGACCTTAAAGACCGTAGATTTAATCCGTCTTTGAAATCGTTCTAAATTTTTTCAAGGAAGCTTTATATAATTGATTTGTTAATAGGAGCAAAAATTATCACTTAGTACTTATTATGACGTGTGTGGGGACAATTTTTTTTAAAAAAAAACTTTCAAGTTTTAGAAAAAAAATTTTATTTTATTTTATTCCAATTAATTTTTTTTGTTATTACTGCTCCACAAAACTCAAAAGGAAGTTGGAACATTCAAGGATTTGCCCTGATACGAGCAGTCTTGTTATTTTTGTGCTGGAATATAACAAAACTTTACAGATCACCAAAAGTTATTCTCCATTCTAAGCCTATCATGAATGGGCAAACATTAATACGATATTAAATTGAGTCACAATGTCATATAAGCGTTATAAGGTTTAGAATAAATGACAAAAAATCTCCAGATAATTTTTTTTCTCATAACAAGCCCTCAAAAAAAAATTTCTCGCAACTGGCTTCAAATATCAGTTAGGAGGTCCTGAGCATGCTCTAAAGGCGACCTATACTATCGCGCTGAAACCACGCTATCATCCAATCTAAAGTTTGCTGGTTGTGGTTCCAGTGTGAACTATTTTTCGAATTAATTAATAAGAAAAAGAGCCTGAAAAGGTATAGAAACCTCTCACATAAAAGTAACGCTACCAAAGACAGTACGTTGTTTATTGCACAGCAAATGATTCTCGATTGTTTTTAAAGCAATACGTTTGTTGTGGAAGCGTCATTGTCGTGGAACGTTTTAGCACAACAAAGACGTTTTTGAGAAAAACGTCATTGAAATACAAAAATCTCGCCCAGTCTCCTCACATCATTATAATTTATCTCACTCCGGACTTTCGCATTGAAAACTCGAGAACAGTTTCCTGGTCTACCTCTTCGAATGGAAATCGCAAGAACTCAGCACTTACGACTCTCTCTGACAGAGTAAAACCTTCCTTATTGAACTAGTACTGAATAACTACAAATATCTGTGTTACTTTTTTGATTTCGTAAGTCGCGCAGTCTAGCCTTTTTGTAAGTCGAGCTGTCTGTCTTTTCTTGGGTCACGCCGTAGTCTTTTCTTAAGTCGCGCCGTCGGTCTTTTCGTAAGTGGCGCCGTCAGTCTTTTCTTGGATCGTGTCGTCAGTCTTTTCTCAATTCGCAGCGTCAGTTTTTTCTACATCGGACTGTCGGTCTTTTCTTGGGTTGCGCCTTCAGTTTCTTTTTAAGTAGCGTCGTCAATGTTTTCTTAAGTTTTAGCGCACGACTTAAAAAAAAGATTTCAGAGCGCATTTTTGAAGAACACTGACGACGCGACTTAAGAAAAGACTTTAGCGGCTCGATTTGAGAAAAGACTTTAGAGACACAACTTAAGAAAAAACCAACGCGACCCAATTTTAGCAATTCTAGACCAGCGCGATATGATATTGCATTGGCAAATCCAGACTGGCAAACCGACCGGCACGATTCAAAAACCATCGAGACGGGCGCGACATAAAGAGATTGCGCGACAAGCGCAAATGAAAATTGCCATTTTTGATCATCGCGACTGAGAATAAACCTCTCTGAGACGCGCGACTAGGCAAGAAATAAAACATTTTCTTGAGTCACGCCGTCTGTCTTTTCTTAAATTGCTTGCCATATTCTTATCGTAAATCGAGCCGTTGGTCTTTTCTGTCATGCCGGTAGAGTCATGCCGGAAAACTCATGACGGTAGAGTCTTTTCGTAAGCCGCGCCGTAACCGTTTTTTTTATACGCATCTCTAGAGTCTTTCTCAACTAGCGTCGCAACAGTTTTTTTCTTAAATTGCGCCGTCAGTATTTTCGTATGTCGCGCTATCAATTTTTTCTTAAATTGGGACACGTAAATCTTTTTCGCGCCATTAAAGTTTTGTTTTCGTGGCAGTGCTAATTAAGAAATTAGGAGAATTCTTGTGCAATTTAGGAGAAGTCATTGCAATTTAAGAGAAGTCTTGTGGCGCGACTTAGAAAAAACTGGCGGCGCGATTTTTGAAAAGACTAACCGAGAGACTTAAGAAAAGTCTGACGGCGCGACTAAAAAAATCAACTCTTTTTTCTAAGTCTAAGTCTTTTCTTAAGTCGCTGAAAGTTGCGGAAAAAAATGTCTTGAGCAATAGCTGACGGCTTGAAACAGGTAAAGAATTCAGCTGCGCGTCCTAAGAAAAAACTGACGGCGCGACTTAAGACAAATTTTAGCTGTGCGGCTCAAGAATAGACTAATGGTGCGATTTAGAAAAAGTTGGTGGAACGATTTGGGAGAAGACCTTGAGCCAGTTAAAGTTCATCTGTTTTTCTTTATAATTTAGGCATATCAAAATTATCTTTATCTCGTGTCAGAAAAAACTTACAGGCGCAATTATTAATGTTAACTACTTAAAAAAATTAGATCTGTATGTGTGCAACTTTTGTAAAATTTGGTTGTACAGTTTTTGCTTTTTTCTATCTATATGATATTATAATCAAATATTTTGCTTGTTATCTCTTCTCCGACTTTTGACTACGATCATGTGTAGCCTTTTTCTCATCTCAATGTCTTCGACTCAGTAAAAAATTTGTGATCGCGCCGTTTATACAGTTTTTGCGCGACTCAACGAAAAAAACTGGCGGCGCTAAATAGGAAACGACTGAGGGCGCGACTTGAATAAAGACTAACTGCACGATTTAGGAGAAGTCTGGCGGCGCGACTTTGGAAAAAAGCACATAAGAAAAAACGGGTGGCGCGAATTATGAAAAAACTAACTGTGCGAATTAAGAAAAGACTGACGGTGAAACTTATAAAAATACTAACATGTTTTAGGAGAAAACTGGCGGCGCGACTAATGAAAAAATTGGCGGAGCGTCTCAGGAAAAACCTGACGGCGCGACCTAAGAAAAGGCAGACAGCGATACATAAGAAAAAACAGACAACGCAATGTAAGCCCTCGACTATGAAATGCGGCGAAAACGGTATGCGGCGCGACGTACAAAGTATTTTCTTAAGACCTACAAATTTCTACTATTTAGCATCCGATCGAAAATTGAGGTCCAATCATTTTCATATAAAACTAACTGTAGGCCTTATTCTACTTAGCTCAAGGTGAAATTTAAAAATGCGCCATAAATTTAATTCTTACAGGTCTAGCCAGGAAATCGATATCATAACCTGTGTAAATTTTGTTAGAAAAACTTACAACAATTTTTTGAAAAACGCTGCAGAAGTTGTTCAAGAAACTTCGACGCATTTAATAGAATAGATAGTTCTCTAAACTTTAAATATAGAAATTAAATTAATAAGACGGCTCGTATCAAGGCGGCGAAGACCTGAATTTTCCGTTTGCCTTTTAAGGTTTATGGAGCTGTAATAACATTAAAAAATTAAATGAAATAAAACAAATTGAATTTTTTTTCTTCTAAATTTTGAATTTCTTAAATGACAATCATCACCCCACACGCTACATAAAGTACAAAAGGATAGATTTCGCTCCGTGTAACAAATCAATATTTTTTCAAATTTGAGCTCAGGACAACAATACCTTTCGAATGATATAAAAAAATTCTGTCAAAAATGGCTAGTTAATAAGTCGAAATTTGTCTGAAGAAAAAAAAACGCACCCCGAACACAAATATTCCGTTACTTTTGTATCGAAAGTCAGAACAAAAAGGATCGAATTCAGGAGTGGCTCTAAGATTTTATCGAGAGGAATTTTATTGATATTTTCTCAAATTTTGTCGACTTTTTTTGCTCGACCAAATTGATTCTCTGAGAATTCATAGAACACTATAAAATCCTAGTCAGAAAAAAAAACAAAAGGCCTAAAAATACCTTTTTAGGCCCACTTTGTAAAAATTTTGACAAGCGCGTGTTTTTTTGACGTGCGCTCCCCCTTCCACCACCACCAAAAAATGTATTTTTGAATAAAAAATAAAATAAAATCACCTCCCCCCTAAATCCTCCACTTGTTGAACTTTAACTCTAACATCTTACTGCGTACATTTTGTTCATGAATATATTAATTTTATTGTGGCAAAAGGTGTTCACTGTTCTTATTAAAATTCTAGTTTATCGGTTTTCAGAAACAGTTTATCGATGTTTACTTTAGGTCTCGCCATGTGCCCAGCGGAAGAATTTCTTAAATGCGTAAATCGACAATGCTATCCCTATCAGTTGTATTCCGGCTATTATGACGTAATACCAGTACAGTTTTCCGTCTGGCAGCTGGCATTTGGTGTCGTCGGAGCTGTTGTAGATGCAAAAAGCGGAGACCAAGTTCAACAAGTTGGATAACGACAACACAAAGGCTGCTCCAATCGCTGAAAACATAATGTTAAATTGCCTCCTAAAATTGTCTTAAAAAAATTGGCTAACCCGACTATCAAGTTTAGTATTAATGTTATATAATCAACCAGTAGCGGATCTAGAAAATTTTCGAGTGGGGGGAGATCAGGGGTGAACTTCGGGGGGGGGGGGGGGGGGGGGGGCTGTATGCCTATCCTCCTGAGGGGTTCGACCCCCTCACTAACCAAAGTGCTCATCTTTGGCTTTATTTTATGACATCCGTTTTTGGCTGACCAACCCTAAAAGTGTTCTAAAGACGCCTTTGGCGCCAGTATATACTAAATTTGAAGGGGAGCGCGCGCCGAAAAAAAAAAACAATTTTTTTTTGGTCAAAATGTCCCAAAAAGTGCCCAAGAATGGCTTTTTTGCCCTGTTTTTCAAAGATTTGCAGCGGCGCAAGAAATCTGTAAAATTTGGATCTTTATAATAATCTGAGAGCGCTCGGAAAATCAACTTGATCGACCTACAAAAATGCACCGGTTGATTTTGTTACCTGTTTAGTACCATTTTTGGGCACTTTTTTCACAGATGTGTGCGCCACCTCCTAAGTGTAATTTGTCGCTTTGGAAGTTTTTAAGAAACGTTCGGCCAAAAATGGATGCCGTACAATACAACTAATACGCGGAACCCTTTGGTTGGTGCCAGGGTCGAATCTCCTACCCCCCCCCCCCCCCCCCCCCCTAATAAGCTTCCTACCCCCCCCCCCCTAATCCGCTAATTTAATCAACATTGCTCGTCATATTTTGTTTGAAGTAATTGGTGCTGTATTAGGTATGGAAAACTTAAAGGTCTTAAAGTAATTCGCTGCACCAAGTTTATAAAAATATTTACCTTTTGCGAGGAAGCAAAGACCAATGAATATGCCCTGCATTTTGTCTGAAACAGAAAATCCAATTGATCATCAACAAAATTTCGGCAACAATTTTTGTTTCGAACTGTTGTCCCAAGCGACTAAGAAATTATTTAGCGTTTCGTAAAATATCACTGAAGGATAATGAAACTGTCAAGAAGATGATCTCCTGTTTTATCATAAGCCCTATAAAATATATTTTATGTTCGAAAAAGTTATTTCCTGAAAAAACAAGACTGCTTGTATCAGGACGAAGCTCTGAATGTACCGGCGCTTTAACGCTTAAACATCACAAAGGTAAACTTTGGGTTTCATTTTGTTTTTTTCCGACTTTCGAAGAAAGTGAGGAATATTTATGCTCGGGTTGGTTTATTTTTTATTCAGAACAATTTCACAAACAATATTGGCTCAGTGAGGGGATTGATCCCTGTAGCTACAAGAAGTCTTGTTTAATTCTTGACCTCTCACGCAACTTCATGTTCAAAAAGATATATTATGCGTCTAGTAACGAAATTATGAGAAAAAAATGCAAGCCTAATCTAATTTAATTCGGAATGATTTAATTAACTACTTCTGCTTTACGCGTGCTCGAAATATATCGCGCAATTATTATCCCAATTGAGTTATGAGTAGTCTAAATATCAAGCTCCATAACTACAAAACGATTGGTCGCAGAAGATTTTTGTTTCTAGTTTAAACTTCTGAAATCAATGTTTTTAGATCGTATAATCAAGTTCAGTCAATATCTGGAAAAAGAACACGTCCACCACAAATTTTCGGTCTTTTGCTTTCAAAAATGGACAAAAGGATAAATAAACTATAATTTTTCATTCAACACAAAGCTTTTGTTTCCTTTCAACTAAACTTGCGCTCAAGTGGTATTGTTTTTTTGTTCCGACTTTCGATACGAAAGTAACGGAATATTTGTGCTCGGGGTGGGTTTTTTTTTCTTCAGACAAATTTCGACTTTTTAACTAGCCATTTTTGACGGAATTTTTTATATCATTCAAAAGGTATTGTTGTCCTGAGCTTAAATTTGAAAAGATATTTCACCTGTGATCATTTTTCGTAAAGTTATGAAGGTTTAAAGATTGCCATTTTGACCAAATTGGGACAATTAACGCGCGATATAATTCACGCTAATAACGAGTAAGCGGAGATTTAATCCGTCTTATAAATCGTTCCAAATTGGTTGAACGAAGCTTATTTGCCATAATTGATTTGTTACAAGGAACGAAATCTATCTTTTTGTACTTCATAAGGCGTGTGGGGGGATGATTTCATAAAAAATTTCATTTAATTTTTTTTAATGTTATTACTGCTGCTCCATAAATCTTAAAAAGCAGTCGGAACATTCAGGGCGTCGCCCTGATACGAGCAGTGTTGTTTTTATATTGATGAAGATTTCAAAAGAAATCATAAAAAATTGAATGTTTGTCAAAGTTCTCACTCTACAAGACATGTTCAGTACAAAATGATGCGGCTATTACAGAATTAGCATAACCCAAACTTGCCTCATTTTAATTGAAAATAAACTCACAGCTGGATTAAAATACCGCTCACCTATTAATTGCAGAAAACTTATCGCGTTGTAATTGTCCCAAAATGGCATAGCTCAAAGTAAAAAAAATGAACGCAGGTTGTTTTTTTTTTTGAAAAAAACTGAGCTCATGGTGTCACTATAAGACAAATTTTGATTGGCGATTTAAAAAAGATTTTATCTAAAAAAAGAATCCTACAGAGTCCGATTTTTCCGTCGCTTTCTTCGAAAGTCGCAACAATAAAGAAATTTTTGATTTCCTATTTGTAATTAGAGCAGAAACAAAAACTGATTTTCAAACTTTGAAGAACGAGTAGATTTTCTTTGCTTGCTGCAGTTTCAATTCTTCAGACAATTTTCGCCATCTAAATTTTTTCACCTTCTGAATTTTTGAATTCCTGAATCTATTTATAAAAAAAAGTTCTTTGATAAATTTTTGCAAAATTAAGGGCGTTTGAAAATTGCCAGTTTGGCTAACTTGGTACACTCAACCCCCGATACTTTTCGTGCAGTCAAAGCTCAAGCGACGAATTAATCCGTCCCATAAATTGTTCCAAGCTCAAATTAGGCAAACTATTTTGACTTTTAAAATAATTTGAAATTTTTTTTCGAAAGTTTCTTCCATTTTTATGGCGATCATTACTCCATAAACCTTAAAAAGCAAAATGAGCTTTCATGTTTCTGCTCTGATATGATTAGTATTGTTTTCAATTAATTTTGAAGCTTTTCAAATTTTTATTTGAAGTTTCCAAAAAACGTTCAGCAGGCCAGATATAGATGATATAACAGCTACAAACATACATGGTTCCGATTCGTAGTCAGGTGCCTGAAGGTAGGCAATCTGGTAAGCAGTCACCACTACAAACACTTGTGAGATAGAGGCTGCCAACTGCTGCGGCAGTTGCCACAGGACACTGAAATGGGAGGCCACGAATGTGCACCCGTTGTACTCCTGTCTGATGATACACTGGTCTATTATGTGTTCGTTGGATGTGAGACACTCGTTGAACTTATAATGACGGACCAAATCCACTGCAATGGCAAGAGAGATTGAAACAACTAAAAAAACATAACCATAACATTGCATTGTGAGATAAACTGAAAAAGCGTAAACAGCAACGTGAGCACGTACATCCAGGGGCGGATTTGGGGGGGGGGGGGGACGCCTTCCCTTCAGGGATTCGACCCCCTGCCTACCCAAAGGTTCCCCCCTTTGGTATTTTTTAAGAAACCCACTTTTGACCAACCGACCCTAAAATTTTTCTAAAGGCGCCTTTGGCGTCAATATATACTAACTTTGAGGGGGGAGCGCGCGCCGAAAAAACGCGATTTTTTGGTAAAAATTTTCCAAAAAAAGCCTAAAAACGCATTTTTTGGCCTGTTTTTTTTTCAAAATTTCGCCTGCGGCGCAGAAATTTTGGCCAAAAAATGGTATTTGTAGAGCTTTAGCAGAGCTCAGAAAATCAATTTGGTCGACCTAAAAAAAGGTCGACAAAATTTTCGAATTTTTTTTGAAAATCCGCCGCCCTAGAGGAAATCCTAGATCCGCCCCTGCGTACATCAATGCCCTTTTTGATGATGAAATTAAAAAAAAATTAAATCACTTTTAAAGTAAAAATGTAATTAGTTTTAGTAATAGGTATGCAACTTACAACCCAAAAAGAGCCCTGTCAAGAGCCTCTTGTGATCTTTGGCCGCTGAGAAAGCCAGTGGGAGGTCAACGTCAAAAGCGAGGGTGTCCTTTTGACCTCTAATTTTGTACAGACACATTTTGAACTTGAAGATGATGTGGCGGAAGCAGTCTGAGTTGAGGAAGAGCATGATTGGAATCAAGACGCCGACGAAGATTAAGTTGAGTCCTAAGCTGTACCAAGAAACAGGTCGCTTTAGCGTGTACTAAACAGAACATACACAAACTGTCTTCTGTTTTCGGCCAGTTATATTAACTATCCATGTTTTTTCGACTTTTTCAGGGAAATCAAACAATTTTAATAAGTTAAGTTATCTGGTCATTGGAAGCTGGTTGTGATCTTTTTTCAATGAACTTTAGCATATTTAAAGTCCACAAGAAATCAGCATCTAAGCTGTAGAGCAGCACAGCGAATCACCCAAGCGTAGTTTAAAAAATAGTCTGAAATCTTTTAGTGGCACAACAATTTCGAAAACAAGAATAATTATCCGTACACTGGTATCATTTAGGTTTAGGGTGGCGTTTTCTCTGTCCCAAGAGGGAAACTGCATCTGTAGTCCCTGCGCTCTGAAGATGGCATTGAAAGAAGTCTGAACACAAAAACAATGCAAAAAATATAATCAAACTGCTCGTACTAGGGCGAAGCCCTGAATTTCAGACTGCCTTATAAATTCTATTAAGCAATGTTTGCTTTATAACAATTGATGAGTTTTAAAAAAAAAATTTTTTTTCTAAAAATTTGAGTTTTTTATAATCAAATCATATAAAATACAAAGTGATAATTTTTGCTCCTAGAAACATCGCAATTATGGCAAAAAGCTTGCTTCAACCCCTTTGGAACCATTTTTACGACAGATCATATATCTGCGTACGCGTTAATGGCGAAATATATCGCACGTTAATTGTCCCAAAATGGCCAAAATGGCAACCTTTAAACTTGTTACATTTTACAAAAAATGATCACAGGTGAATTATCCTTTTAAATTTGAGCTCAAGACAACAATACATTTTAGATGATATTCCGTCAAAAATGGCTAAATAAAAAGTCGAAATTTGTCGTCTGAACAAAAAAAAACACCCTGAGCCATTTTTGACGGAATATCATTCCGTCATTTTTCTCGAAAGTCGGAACGATTAGCCATATCTATAGTACTGATTAAATTATCCAAACAAAACGTAGTCAATCTAAAAATTGCGGCAATTTTTCATGAAGTTAATTGAAACGCGGTCAAAAATAATGAAAAAACAATCAGCATTTTGTTACTGCTAAAATGATATAGCTGTTCCGAGTTTTGTAAGGAAAGTATTAGAATATTTGTGCTCAGGTGGCTTTTTTTTTCGTCAAACAAATTTAGACTTTTAAAGTAGCCTTTTTGGCGGCGAAGTTTTTTTTTATCATTCAAAAAATATTGTTGTCTTGAGCTTAAATTTGAAAAGATATTGCACCTGTGATCATTTTTCGTAAAATAATGGGGCTTAAAGATCACCATTGTGACCAATTTGGGACAATTAACACGCGATACATTTCGCGCTATCAACACGTGAGCGGATATTTGATCCGTCGTAGAAATTGTTGAAGGAAGCTTATTTGTCATAATATATTTGTTACTAAAAGGGAAATCTATCACTTTGTTTTTTATATGGCATTTGGGGGGATAATTCTTACAAAAAATCTCAAATTTTATATAAAAAAAATTCTTTCTTCTTTTTAGTACAGCAATTTTTTAAAATTTAAAACTGCTCCAAATACCTTAAAAATGCAATCACAGCATCGAGTCTTTTGCCCTAATAGGAGGAGTTTAGTTTTCTTTGAGCAACTATTGGTGTCAAAATCTTGTCCTAAAAACAATCTGTTTCGACTCCAGTTGGATTATTAAAAATTGCCCAATTAGGTTTGATTTCAGCAAAATAGTTCAAAAACGTCAACCCTAATTTACCCAACTTAGTTTATCAAGAGTTTATAAAAAAAAATTCCGAAGAAAATGGCGAAATATTCTGTGGTCGGGTTGGTTAACTCTTCTCCAGACTAACGTCTACTTTTTTATTAGCAAATTTTGACAAAAATTTTTATATCAATTGAAAGGTAATCTCCTGTGATCATTTATTAAAAAGTTATGGGCGTTTATAAACTGCCAATTTGGCTATCTTAGGACAATTAACTTGCGATATATTTCATGCTATTAACCCATAAGAGGAGATTTAATCCTCGTTAAACTCGTTTCAATTCGAAATGACTCATGCTATTTGTAGTATTTAATATATTACTATGTGTGATATTTCGTTCCGAAATTCGTAAGGAAAGTAATGTAATATTTGTGCTCGAGGTAACTTTTTTTCAGAAATTTTAGTTTTTAACTAGCCATTTTTGACAGAGCTTTTTTTTCATAAATCAAAGGGTATTGTTGTCGTGAGCTAAAATTGTATATATTTTTCACCTGTAAACTTTTTTTGTAAATTTATGGAGGTTTAAAAGTTGCCATTCTGGCCAGTTTGGCACAATTAACGCCATATAATAAAATTTAATCCACAATTTTCAAACTCAACACTACTCCATCTCTTTCAAAGATGGAGAACGATAGATAGTTTTTTTTTCAAAGACTACCTAATCCTTGTAAAACATATAAAAACAGATGATAACTCGAGTTGACCTTTATAGACCAAATTGCTTATCATGCAAGTGCAGACGTCGAGTTTATGAAAAATTGCTAGTCATGCAATTTTCGTGTTTGAAAATTTGCGTGAATTTTTTCTTAAGCATTTTTTGTCAACAGTTCCGATCAAATCAATTCCTCGAATGACTTTCAATTGAAAACTTTGCATTTTTATCATACTTTCGGAGAAAATGACGAGCTACCCGGGTTGACCGCCATAAACCAAAAATGCTAATTAAACAATTCCATAAACAAAGTCTCTGAAAAAATAATAATTATACAAATTTCATACATTTTGCAAAAATGATGTCATTGAATTTCCCAAGTTTTTTTTCTCGTTTTGGCGTAAAATTCGGTGTATCGTATTAAATAAAAAAGAAAAACTTTTTGTCAAAAAAATGCTAATCATACAGTTTCCATATATGGAAATTGATTGATTAGCATTTTTCTGATCTTACAACAAAAATTTTTCGAAGGATTTTTGAAATTGCCCTCAAAATTTTTTATTGTTTATTTTTCAATCGCAAATTGAATTTTGTACTAAAAAAACATTGTTCTTTATGTGTATAACGTAGTTCTGCATGCGCTAATATTTTTTTTTCTTTTCGCTTAACAAACTTTTAAAAATTGGTTAAGATTTCTCAGTACTTTGTCTGGCAATCTTTATGTATGCCTTGATCAATGTCTGGTAGTTTAAAATTGCAAGTTTTAAAAATAATCACCTGTGAAAATTTTAACCAAAATTTAAAAGTTTGATACTTTTGTTATATTATTTGTGTGAGACAGAAATGCGAAATTTCAGATCATTTCCAATGCATTTTTAATGCGAGACGGTCAAACCTTTGGTAACTCTACGCTTGACTAACCAAGGTCTTTGTCACTTGTGTTCGGTTACGAACACAACCAAAAAATTTTGGTAAATTAAAATGTAAAAAATCATTATTTTTGGTTTATGGAAAAATGCTAGTCATGCAATTTCTATATATGAAAAATTACTAATAATAGACCTTTCATGCAATTTTTTTTACTTATGGAATAGCATGAAAAGTGTATGATTAGCATTTTTCCATACATGAAAATTGTATGACTAGCATTTTTGGTCAACCCGGGTATTTGAGTTAGACGATAGTTTTATTTCTCCAAAGAAACACGGATTTTCACTTGCGACCGTTTTTCTACAACATTTTGAGAGTCTAAATATTTTCAATTAGGAATAAATCTTTTTTTTATCATTTACTTTTTTGGTCGATTATATTTTTCATTGACTTAAGAAGCGGTGTTCATACAGAATAATAAAATTTCCCTAAAATTTTCGACAGGGATTTGGAAAAGCTATCATTTTTTTCAAAAAAGCAAATATGAAAACCGCCTTTTCTATTTCTGTGGAGGCTATTCCCGGTATTTGTTGCAAGAAAATTACACAGTATAAGTAGCGGATTTGAGGGGGAAAGCAGTCGCCCCCCTCCTCCCCTCAGGGATTCGATCCCTGACTACCCAAAGGGTTCCCCCTTTGTTACTTTTTGTCTCCATTTTTGGCTAGCTGACACTAAATTTTTCTAGCGGCGCCTTTGGCGCCAATATATACTAACTTTGAGGTGTAGCACGGGCCGAAAAATTGCGATTTTTTGGTCAAAACTATCCAAATACTGCCTGCCAGTTAATACCAGTTAATTGCGAGTTCTTTCTGGCTTGAATGGTAGCAGATACAATTACAATATTAAACTTGTGAGTTACTAGCACCCCCATTGTATTTAAAATGCAAGTGTTGCAGCAATTTTGTAATAATTTACTCGACTTTTTTTAATGACTAAAAAATATTTGAAGGGGCGGATCTAGAATTTTCCGCCTCTCCAAAATATGCCCCTCCGCCCTCCAAAAGATGTCATTCAAAAAAGTCGAGTAAAATCATTGCAAAATTGTCGCAACACTAGAATTTTAAATACAATGGGGTGCTAGTAACTCACAAGTTCAATATTGTAATAATTGTATCTGCTACCATTCAAGCCAGAAAGAACTCGCAACAATTCGCAATTAATTAGCAACAATAAATAAATAAATGAACAAACTACAATAAACAAATGAACAAACTGCAATCTGGAGTAGCATACCAACAAACACTGAGTCACGATGTTAGCCTAGAAGTTACCTTAAAATAGAAGTAGGGTACAAGAGAAAGGAACACAGGCAGAAGTCTAGTCAGTCGCTCCACACTCTCAACCATGTCCCGTCTAAACTGGCCCCCGTAGTCGAACTTCACAAAGTCGAACAGCGACAGGTCATCTTGCCACTCATTTCGGCTATCTGAACATTCAAAATTTTCTTATTGTTCTCCGACTTCGGAAGAAAGCAGCGAAGTAATTAGATCGGCTTTTTTTCTGCTGATCAATTTGATCAAAATAACAGAGCAATAATCGAAATACATTTTCGAAGGTGATCGGCATAAATTATGAGGAATCAGATTATTTGACGGTGATCAGATCCGCCACTACCCGTACTTTCTCTTATGTCCACTAAGCCATTTTGCAATGCAGAAACATCAGTTGGCTTCGATTACCAATTAATGGTCTTAAAAATGTAAATTGGAACTTTTTGACTGACCCAAGTAGTCGACATATTTCTTCCTATTGTCCCCTGAAGCTACCATGTTCAGAATGCGACACACACACGGGGCCATGTCGGGCTGTTTCTTCCTGTAGACATAGAAGTTTTTCCCTAACATAAAGAAAACAAATGACAGACACAAGCATCCAAATGCAGTGTATGTCCCCAATTCATGGCTTCCAAATTTCATGGCCTCGAGGTAATTAATCAAAAAACAGCTGACAGCAGCGCCTAACTTTTCAAACCAGTAATACAAGTGGAAGTAACAAGGAATGGAAGACTGCTTGTCACTTTGATCTGCGCCAAAAATGATCATATTTCCAGATATAACTCCGGATCCCATTGCCGTAATAATTAGCGCTGTTATGACTAATGGTCCGCAGGCTTTATCAAAAACCGAATCGGTATCGTAAAAATTATCCGTCGAGCAAGTATCATCTTCCATCGTTTGAGAAATCATATAAATTACGTAACCGATGGTAAAAATTACGTAACCAATGATAATAGTGATGAAACGCTCAATGTAAGTGTCTGATAAAACTGCGGTAATGAAAGAGGTGAAATATTTCACGAGGTAAATTGTTGTTAAAATATTTGCAGAGTGGGTTACGGTCCAACCGTAGGGATCATTATTAGCTATCGGTAACAACGCGTATGCAACGGTATTTATGGCGCAGCTTTCCAGAAAAGCTGCCATGAATATAGAAGCACATGCTAATCTTTGGCTGTTTTTCTCCAATGTTGAGCTTTCATATAATTGGTTTTGGGCATAGTTTGGGTTTTCTGAGTGGTCCAAGTTGAATAAAGATTCGCCGAAAGTTCGAGTTCGGCGCTCGGTATTCAACTTCGCGGCTGGGTGGGTAAAACCACGTGGCTTAGCTGTGGATGTAGTGGTAGCGGGTGGGGTTCGTGCCGAGCATTGGTCTAACTCGTTACCCTGGATTCGGCCCGTATTCGACGGCGTATGCGAATTGTTTTCAGGCGAAATTTTGCGACTTATTTTGGAAGACGCCATTATAAAAATTCGACTGGTTTAACGAACCTATTTGATGAACCTGACGAATTCGACTGGGGGTTTAACCAAACTATTTGACGAACATATTTGACGCACCTGGTTTAATATTTGTCAATTTGCTGTCCAATTGCTGAGGATGCTTAGAAACATTGTTTAGTGGAGTTATTTGGTGTTTAATGCCATTAAACTCGGCCCAAATTATGTTCTTTGAGTTGTTTGTTATATTCTGAATGATATATCAACTAAAAAACATATATAATTATCGTACTTCAAAGAAACAATATTTCCCCATATCAAGTTTTTAAATTTGAAATCTTTTGGTAGTTTTTTTGCTGAAATAAAATGCGCATCTTTAGTAGAGTCGTCGAAAAACGGAAACAAAATTCGTATAAACGAGATTTGTTTATATTTTGGGCAGTTTGATTCGATACTTTACCGGGTGGTCTTTAAAAAAAGATATATTGGCGACTCGATCTGTTAAACCAATCGCTCTTTGTTTAATGGCATTATTCTTGTAGTGACTCGACTAATAAAGAATTAGGTTCATATGCCAGTTTTAGTATAAGCATATTGGGCCGATGTAAGCCAAATAAGTTCGGCTCAGAAAAAATCAACCAGTATGGATGTTGGAAACTTCAACCGAATACGTCTCAGTCAATTTTCTCAAAGCCCAATTCGGAACGAAAGCTGCGTGAACAAAATTGAAATGGTCTGTGAAGCTTGTTAGACATTTATGGCATGCTCGTTTGGCATCAGTTCTTTATCATATTACAAATTCTTAGGGCTGCAGCAAATTTTCAAGCTATTTTTGACTGATTTGTTCAAACTTTAGACTCCCAAATTCCGAAATCAGCTGAAAAATTATCAGGGGTGATAGCAAAAAAAGAGCTTACTTTGCTCGCAATATTTTATGAGCCTATTATTACCTGGAAATTTTCAAATACTCTCCTCTTTAATAGGTTTTAAATATGCTATTTCATTGTTTCCGATTTTGGGTAATTTTAGGTGTTTTTAGCTTCTGCACAAATCATATTAGGTTGCATAAAAAGCAATTTGTGACTAAAGGTTGTCGTTAGTGTTCTGATCTTGTAGAGAGCCGATTCTATAATGAGGCCTGATTGTGTTCTCATATCGAGCTCCGTTTTGTGCGTGTGTGTCTCTGGAAACTGGCAACAGGTCTATCAGTTCTGCCGAATTCTTTAAGTGGAATTCAAAATTCAACAAGACTGCTCGTATCAGGACTGTTTTATGGACCTGAATGTTTCGACTGCCTTTTAATGTTTTATGGAGCAGTAATAACATTAGAAAATTAAATGTAAAAAAATGATATTTTTTTTCTTAAAATTTGAAATTTTTTATGAATATCATCCCCCCACACGCCATATAAAGCACAAAAGGATAGATTTCGCCCCTTGTAGCAAATCGATTATGATAAATAAGCTTATTTTAACCAATTTGGAACGATTTTAAGACGGATTAATTCGCCGCATTCGCGTTAATAGCGCTAAATACATCGCGCGTTAATCGTCCCAAATTAGCCAAAATGGCAATCTTTAAACCCCCATAATTTTACAAAAAAATAATCACAGGTGAAATATCTTTTCAATTTTGAGCTCAAGACAGCAATACTTTTGGAATGATATAAAAGATCCGTCATAACTGGCTAGTTAAAAAGTCGAAATTTGTCTGAAGAAAAAAAACCCACCCCGAGCACAAATATTCCGTTACTTTCGTATCGAAAGTTGTAACAACAACACTGCTCGTGTGAGGGCAAAGCTTGGAATGTTCCGACTGCCGTTTAAAGTAACCGAGTAGCAAAAACAAGAAAAAAATAAATGTAATGAACTAAAAGTAAAACTTTTTTTTATTTGAGACCTTTTGTGAAAATTATCTCCCCACACGCCATATAAGGAACAAAATGATAGATTTTGCTCGTAGTAACAGGTACATTATGGCTAATAAGCTTCCTTCAACCAATTTGGGACAATTTCTAAGACGGATTAAGTCTCGGCTCACGTGTTAATAGCTCAAAATATATCTTTAAACCCTCATAAGTTTACAAAAATTGATCAAAGTAGAAATATATATTTTCAAAATTAAGCTCCGGACAACAATACCTTTGGGATGATAGAAAAACATTCCGTCAAAAATGGCTAGTTAAAAATCGAAATTTGTCCGAATAAAAAAAACCACCCCGCGCACAATTATTTCGTTAGTTTCGTTACAAAAGTCGGAACAAAAAGAAGCATTTTTAACGTAAAATTTATTGGAACAGTTATTTTGTCGCAGAATCTGCAATAAACCAGCATAGCAAATTGATGCTAACTTTTTTCATCCTATTTTGCAATATGCAGGCAGATTTTTAATTTGTTTTTGACAAAAAGCTATGTTGGCTAGAACCAGTTTAGGCGCCTACATTCAGGAGCAATTTTCAATAAAAAGCAATTGCAAAAAGTGAAGCTTGTAAACAAAAAAAACCTACTCAAAATGAAAAGCAATTTCAACATTTATGAACAAAGATTTTACAATTCACTGAAGAATCTACTGACAGATTTCTAATGTTTTAAACTCAAATCGTGGAGGTAACACAATAAATTCCAAATATGTTTTGATTTTTCTAAAAAACTTAAGCAAAACTAACTTCTCACGGAATTTTTCAATTTTGTGATAGGCCAAATGGGTTTTTTGATTGAAGTAGATTTTCATGATATTTTTGGGAAACTTGTTTCTTGGAAATAAAATGCTTCAAAGTAAACTAGTTTTCGAAGCCACCTTTGTCGATACAAGTTCAATTCTAGGTGGAGGATACTTAAAAATTCTAGGTATCCTCCACCTAGAATTGAACTTGTATCGACAAAGGGGGCTTCAAAAATTAGTTTTCTCTGAAGCTTTATATTTCTAAGAAACCAGTTTAAAAATTCTCAAAAAAGTATGTTACATTTCATAATTTACTACTGCAAGCAATGCACGGATACAAAATTTTGATGATTTTGGGTCGATGCTACTCAAATTTTCCATCCAAATGATCTACAACCTGTTAAACAAAAAATCACTATGATGGCTGCCATGATTGCGCATAAACACACATTGCAGGTTTTTGAATTACGCAAATAATTTTCAAGAATTCGGAAGTTTTGTTCCGGATTCTCGAAGTTGCTGCTGGCGCAAGAATGTTGAGCGGTACAAAGTTTTAGCCATTTATCTTTTGTTTGAATGCAAATCCATATCAATCAAACATTGTTTAAAATGGTGGTTGCAATTTTTTCGACGGAGCCTTTTTCAGCGCATAGCTCCGACTTTCAAAGAAAGTACGGAATAATTATGCTTGAGGTGGATTATTTTATTCGGTCTACTTTCGAGTTTGTAAGTAGTCATTTTTGAATAAAATTTTATACAATTTAAAAAATAATGTTTTTTGAGCTCAAACTTAAAAAGATATTTCATCTGTCATAAATAAACACTTTGAAATTTGAGCTCATTTTGTCTTTTTGTATCACAAGCTTTAAAAAAAATTCTACAGAAAAAAAAACGCAGCGAGTACAAAAAATCTGTAAGTTTCTAAAGAAACGGAACAAAAAATGTTTTGAGCACATGGTGTCTTTTTGTATCACAAGCTATAGAAAAAATTCAGTTGAAAGCCTGTTCAAAATTGTCTGCAAAAAAATGCAGCGAGTACAAAAAATCAGTAACTTTCATGAAAAAACGGATCAAAAAACTTTTCTATCTGTAAGTAAAAAAAGCTACAGGAATTTTTTTGACCAATTTAATTTTCTGTTCAACTATTTTTAGACAATTTTTGACTTTCTAACTATCCATTTCCAACAGATAAAGTTTTACGCCAAATAAATTTTACGCCCTTATTAGTTTTCATTAGGCAGTGGATGATGAATTGGAAAAGCATTTGTTTACTTTTTCAGTCTATTTTTTAACCAACAACATTTTATGTTGACCTTAAAGTGCAGTCGGAACATTCAAGGCTTCGCTCTGGTAAACAAGCAGTCTTGTTGTTTTGTTTTTTGACGAAATGGAGAATTTTTCCTGCTTTGGGTGGTTTTTATTTTTTTTTAATCAAAATTATAATTATCAACGGAAATTTTTTATGTCCCATTGAAGATATTGAGTTCATGAGTTAAAATTTATTTTGCGCCAGTCAATTTTTGTGCAGATTTGATGGTCTAATACCAAACAATTGTCTATTAACAAGCAATGGTCCGAAAACTATTGCGATTTGTTTTTGCACGACAAATTATCCCGTAAACAAACTAGTTCTGAAATGAATTGAGGTAAGCTAAATTTATCTTTGCATTACATAATTTTATTTGTTGCTTGCAAAAAGCAAATTGGTGGAATGAAAAATGAAATGGAAACCAATAACCGCCAAAAATTTGATTTGAACAAACAAAGATTGATTCAAAAGTTCGATTTAATCTACGCGGGATTTATCCCTTTCTTATGTGATGTAATTTTATATCGAATTATCGAAATTTTCACAACAGCGTGTAAAATTGATCCACATTAAGAAGCAGCAATTGAGTGAGCCTTGTGACTCTGATTTAGACAGATTGAGACCGGATCGGGGCTCATTGCAAAAACTCAACGATTAAAAAAATGCGAATATTGCAATACTACGTTTTAGAGGTCTTGTATTGTAAAACTAGCATTGAATACTCGCTGCAGGCACAAGACAAAAACCTATTGAAGTTATTATGACATTTGCCAAACATTTTTTGTTTCTTCTTAAATAAAAGATTTTCAACTTCATTGTCTTGGTATACAGAATTAAGCAGGTTTAAGCTGTTCCCCTCATTCTGATATAGAGTCATATGATTGGTTGAATCAAAGTGAAAGGGAAATCTCAGCTACGTCAAGCTGAGTTGGTCCGTTATTGAAAATTTTTAGGCTTCGGCGAGAAAACATTGGTTCGCCGACCCGGACACATAGAACCAAGAAGCACTAACCATTAACCACTAACCACGAACCAGGAACTATGAGTGATAACAACGACTAGTACGATCTACGAAGCTTGGCGAACGAGCAACCAGGTCA